CAGGCTAGGAGACAGAGGTCGGAAGAGTGTGTGCCTCCTTAGCGCTTGATGTAAGCTACCGCTGTCGTGTAGTCTGATCGGAACAGCAGCCTTTTGCCTTCTTTGGATGAATGGAATTAGCAGAGTGCTATGTGGATGGTCTGCGGTTTCAATAGGTTGATATGGGCACCCTGCAGGTCGGGACCCATATATGGTGCCTCATTTTTAAAGAGGGAAAGAGGCATCCATGGTTTTAATTTGTGGCCCTGGTCTGTGAAGGGAACCCAACAGTAAGGTATCTCTCTTTGACCACCACAGAGATGTTGATGAAGGACAAATGGCAATATCGGGATTTGAGGGTCAAGCGGATCATTGCTGGGTTTGAAGTGCGCAAAGAGGTGAAGTTGCAAGGGTCTCATGTGCAGGCGCCACGAAGGGACAAGGTCCACAAGACTTCGCCACTCAGCAACCTGTCCCTGTGGCTCTCTGAGCAGACCTCATACATGTACCACATCCGGTTCAAGTGTACTGTGGCGTGACAACTGACACCTTTTGTGGCGGACCAGTAGACTGGCCTGATTGGAGATGGAAACGACCTGGCCTAACCCCACAAATATATTTATTTAACCGTACGCAAGAATGAGTGGCTATCCAACGCTAAGGCAATATTATATGATTGGTTTATTCAATGTCAGTGATTCAGTTATCCTTTATATACAACAGCAATTAATTATGTACAAAATGATCCTCAGGGCTAGGTGGTCTTATGTGGTCAACTGCACCACGAACGTGATTAGTTAAATTTATCCTCAACCTGCACCAGGGTAGCCCTCACAGTGATCAGGGTAACCCTCACAATAAACAGGTAACCCTCACAGTAATCAGGGTAACCCTCACAATAAACGGGCAACCCTCACAGTGATCAGGGTATCCTTCAAGTGTAAATAAATAATCTACCGATGGCTTATAACTGGCGAGTCTTGACCACACAATCCTTGCAATTATACAGCACAACAGTGTAGACTTATACAACAAAAATCTCTACTGCCTTACCAAGCAACACAGTTCCCAAACTGCAACAAGGTTCAAGGTGACTTAAATAACCCCCACCCACTTCACGTTTTTATGAAACAACACAGGTAAGTTAAGAAGGCAATTATATAGTCCTCACCAGACTGTAACGGAAACCTGCACCCAATAAACCTCAACGAGGGAAGCAAGCTCCCAGACCAGGACTGCAACCAACCGTCACTTTGCCAACAAGCATGGAACAACGGCACGCAATCCTTGTAGTCTAAGGTTTGCTAATTGCCCACTTAACTGGTTCACCCAGGTTCCCTAGCCCTATTCAACACTTCCTAAATAAATCGGACTGTCTAACAATCCCCCAATCTTCAATGACATCGGATATAATAGGCAGCTCCCACAACTGAGTACAAGCACCACACTAACGATCACACCAGGCACACTTGAGGTAGATCCCCAACCACCAGTGGTCGTTCGTCAGATTAAACACTTAAAACTCAGTATACGCCACAACTCCGCAAAGCTCTTGTTAGCATGCTGCCATCTTGAGAAGTCCTGGCGACCCACACAGCCAGCACCCAGACCTAAGGTAATGCGCTCTTCTGATTGGTTGCCGTGCACATGTTCAATGCATGATTTACATGCGCATGAATTATTAATGACCCAGACTAAACACAATTCTGCACAGTTACCCTATTTCGCCACAGTACTGAACTTGGTTCACCTGGGGGCACTCATGCTGACATGACTAACCCAGGTCAAGAGGACTGGCTGCTGCAATTGAGTGATGTGGTGAAGCATCATAGGATCACATATGAAAGAAGAAGTCCCAAGGGATAGAACCAGGCCCTGGCATTCGCTTGACGCTTGTCCATGAACAAGTCAACACACTGTAGAAGGTTGTTAACCTGGTCTCCCATAGGTGTAGCAATGCCCTCGCAAAGGTTAAGAACTGCTGTGAGATATATGACAGTTTTTAGGGTGAAGGAGCTGGTATTGACTTTTCGTGGTTGATCAGAAAACCTAGGTTATATGGTGGGATAAGTGACACCATTAATTTGCGGCAGAACCAGCAGACCGCCCTGATCAGATATGGAATTGACCTGGCCCAGCTAACCCCACAAATATATTTATTTAATCTTATGTAAAAATGAGCGGCTATCCAAACGCAAGGGGGGATATCAGTTAACAAATGGCTGACTATGCCTTACTTGAAGTTTACCACCGGTCTGTAATTAAGTAATTGATTCCAATGTCAATAAAGGTTACAATGAATGCCAATACGGGTGACACGGGAGGAACTACATGTAAATCTCACGGTGTCCGACGATTTCAAAGGCAATTATATGATTCGTTTACTCAATGTCAGAGCTTCTGTTAGCGTTCATACACAAAAGCAATTATGTACAAAATGATCCTTACGGTAGGTAGTCCTATGCAGTCAACTTCACCACTATAACACGAGTAATTAGGAGCTTGTTATCCTCAATCTACACTCGGGTAACCCTTACAGTGATCAGCATAAACCTCAAAGTAACCAGGGTAACCTTCAATGACCAAGTAACCCTCAATGACCAGGTAACCCTCAAGTCTAAATAATATACCATACTTATTGATGAGTCTTTATCCCACAAGCAAACACAACATTGGTAAAATTTATAGTACAACGGGTTAGACTCATACAACAATAATCTCTACTGCCTTACTACACAACACAGCTTTCCAAACTGCAACAGGGTTCAAAGTGACTTAAGTAACCCTCACCCGCTTCAAGTTATTATTAAATAACACGGGTCACTTGATTAAGAAGGTGATTATAATAATTCTCACTGGATTCTAACAGAAACCTGCACCCAGTAAACCTCCGTAAGGAAAGCAAGCTCTCAAATCTGAGGGCTACAATCAACCATAACTATATGGAACAATGACATACAATCCATCCAGTCTAAGCTTCGCTAATTGCCCACTAACTTCACCCAGGTTCCCTAACCCTATTATCCAACACTTCCTAAATAAATTGGACTGTCTAACAATCCCCCAATCTTTGATTAGGTCTTAATAATCGGCAGCTCCGCAACTGAGAATGATTACCACACTAACCGATCACTCCAGGCGCACTTGAGGTAGACCAAAACCCCCAACTACCAGCAGTCGTATGTCAGTCTTGATATCACTCCGTCAACGACACAACTCAGCAGGTGAGCTCTTGTCAGAACACCGCCATCTTATGTCCTGGCAACCCACGCGCCAGCGCCAAGACCCGAGGTGATGTGCGCTTCTGATTGGCTGCTGTGCGTGTGCATAACCTAGGTGCACATGAATTATAAACAAGGTAGACTATATTACGAGTTTCTTGTAGTCGAGACCACTTAAGACCACACAAGACCAGCACAAGACCAACACAAGACCTCCAGTCTGAATTCAAGTCACAAGCTATTCAACTGAACTGCAACAAAAGGATTCATTTGTCATTGTTCACTGTTACTTGTGACTGGTCTTGTGCATGGTCTTGTGTCTGTATGGTCTTGGTCTTGACTACAACGCTGCTACAACTGTCCTGTTTTGTCACAGTGAGATGTCATGTCGTAGGTAGTCTCAGTGGTGATAATAGCCTCTTGCTCAGAATGGCCAATTATAGCCAGCTGTCGAGGTATTGAAAGATCCGAATGTTAAAGCGGTAGAGGAACGTTGCTATGGTCTTTATCACTCTTGGGATGTGAGGTGGAGAAACCAAAAGGTAAGGAACTTAATTCGTACACCTGGCCTTTGTACATGAATCAAAGGATTTGATCTAGATGGATCAGTATGTGGAAGTACCGGTAGGCCTCCTTCAGATCAATTGAGGATGCCCATGCAATAAAGGGTAGCGACTGGAATACAGTACAGTACCAAGTGTTTCCATACGGAATCTCTTCGGCCAAGCATATCTGTTCGGGGGCTTCAAGTTGATGATTGGTCTCCATTTGCCCGGTTCCTTCTTGGGAGTGAGGAAGAAGGTGGACATGAAGCCTTCGACCTTATTGATATTGGACATATGGCTTTCTTCTGCAGTATAGGCTTTCTACTTTCAACTCAAAGGCTCGTTGTCTGGAGCTGTCAGTTAGGGACTGGAGTTGGTCTGAACAGCATGTCGGACAGAGGTGGACTCGTGAACTCTTAACTTGTAGCCTTGGACAATTGAGGTGAGCACCCATCAATCTGAAGTAATGTCTCCCCAGAACCCTGTGAATTTTTAAAGCAGCCTGCAATGGGTTCGGAATTGGGGACCGTGGACAAATGTAAATTTTTTTAGTCGCCTACGCTGCCCCCTGAATGAATAGGGGAAGGAGGGGATGAGGGTGGATAGAGCCAAAAGGGACATGTGTTGAGCAAGCAGGGGTCGTTGGAAACTAGTTAGCAGAGCTCTGAAGGCTTGGCAAGACCAGGGTTGTCGGTTGGAGTTGGCCAGCTGAAATCTGTTGTCGGAACTCTGGACTGGAACCACATCTTGTCTCAGGCAGGGGCTTGGGTTGTTGATGGAAAGAGGTCTTCTGGGTCGTGTCAACTCATTTGGTTTCAGTTTTCAGGAGATCAAGGAACTGCCTAGCGAAGAGTTCTTTACCAAACATGGGGAGGCTCTTCAGCTTTTTGTTGACAGTATAGTACAGGATATTCAAAGCATGAATAATGTTTTCCCAGTGGGTAGAGTGGTGCGAAGAGAAATACCAGTGAATTGCTCATCAGAGCCTATTATCAGAGGATTGTCGCGATTACACAGGGCCATGATGGCAAAATCGAGGAGATGTTGGAGCCATCTTCACAATGCACAGGCAAGAAACTAAGTCAGGAGTAACATGAAGGCCATGCATTTAATGCCCATTCGAGCTGCAAAATATGTTTCTGACAGAGTCTGTTCGACCTGGGTTCTTAGATTTATCGGGAAAGAGTGATTCAGATGATCTAGGTTGGTCCTATTTTGTTTTTGCTCAAGGGGAAGTGGAAGTATGTAGCTGCCTGGTCATCAGGCACCATATGGTCACCAACATTTTGTCTTGCCAATCTGTTCATAGAGTTGACACAGGCCCTGTCAAGTGGGGGTTCCGGGAAGACAGGCACCAAAGGCTTGGACCCCAGAGAATTTTGCTTAAATGAGGGACTCTCCTGGTTATCTTGTGACTGAGAAGTTGAAGGGAGGCCAAAGACATGAATCATCTCCCCTTAAAGGAGGACAAGTTGAGATTCGGAAGGAGTGAGACTGTTGACTAAGATTCGGTTCATCCTCATTGGATGGTAGGTCCCCAGGATTAAGTGTGTGGGTCTGGATCACTATGCATCATGGGATAGAAGGCACACTACAGTTTATCATGATTTTAGTGAATGGAGTAATGGCCTGGAAAAAATGGACTAGTATGGTAATCTGGGTCGGTTGCATGCAGTAGACACACAGGATTTGACCATTTGTGGGTATTAATTTGGGTGCTGAAACTCAACTCAACTGAAAAATATGAGATATATTGACCTATTTTGAAAATGAAGCCAAATGTCACAAATACTGACTTGAGGGTCATGCAAATAGTTGTACAATATTTCTCTCTGCAACCTTAAATTTTGCCACACTCTGAGGTGCTACCACAGAGGGATTACAGCAGCAGAATATGTTTAAATGTAGACTTCTCGAAGACTACATCTTGTGCGCGTGTGTTCAAAACAACTGGGGAATAAGGCCCAATTATGTCATTACAGTTTTTATGAAGATCAAGACGAAAGTCTCACTGGAGAGTAAAAATTAGGTTTCAAGAGAATTACATTAGAAGTTGGTCTCTTTTTCAAACACTTATTTTCCTAGTATTTAGCATTCCTTTGACTTTAATACCCAATGCTACTCCATGAAAGAAGGGATCTCAAATGACACAAAACTACAAATTAATATTTATCCCTATTAGGGCACATGTCAGATGATTAATGAAACATTTGCCGTGTTATAGTCAAGACCACGCTCAAGACCATGCACAGGACCAGTCACAAGTAATGGGTTTAACAATGATAAAGGAATGCTTTTGTTTCAGTTCATTTGAATAGCTTTGGACTTGAATTCAGACTGGAGGTCTTGTGCTGGTCTTGTGAAGGTCTTATTGGTCTCTACTACAACACTGAACATTTGATTTTCAAACTTTTTATCTTCGAAATTTATCAATGAGGATGGGTGAGCAGTTCTGTAAAGTATAAAAAATGGACCGATACACAAGTAACTTCTAGAAGTATTGCTTTAAACTCCACAGACTCAAATTACAATCAGATCAGAGT